CCTAATGACAGTGAACAAACAGAAATTTAATGAAGTAAAACAAAGTGTCCTTCTCAGTGCTATGGCTGATCAATGAATAGTGATTCAAGTCCATACGATCCCCTTGTACTCTACTTGAATGCTCAGAACAGCCGTACACCACTATCGTTGCTACTTTCCAATCCATCCAAACTTCCAACTCTCATTTTTCAGTGGCCTCATGCAGTGTTTCTTAAATCTTTTGCTCTCAGGACCTTTTTCACTTCTAAGAATTTTGGACAACTAAAAGAGCTTTTGTTTATATGGAATATATTTATCAATATTTACCATTTTAAAATTTAAAATTAATGCATTCATAGAATATTTATTGAATTATGTAAAAATAACCATATTAAACTCATTAGGCATTAAAATAAATATACTATTTTCCATAAAATCCTATATTTTTAAGAAAAAAAATGGAAAGAGTGATGTTTTTAAATTTTTATAAATAATTTCAATATCTAGTAAATATTTTTGATTTTGTGGACCCTCAGGAGTCTCTGGTCTACGCTTTAAAAAATGCTATCTTTTAGTATGTAGTATAATATTGTAGCCCCTGAATCAAGATGTAGAGATCATTCTGAATTTTGGTTTAAGTATGTCCAGGTATCCATTTGCATAGCTAAAACTGATGTGCTGTTGTGCTTTCTTTTTCTGGAATGTCAGCTACAACCCTAGCAATACCAACATTTGTTACATCCTCTTTGTCAATGTAATAGAAATAGAGATTTCTATTTTAATTATATATTTAAGTTTCACTTTCAGCAGTATTTATAATGGATGTGCAAGACAGAACTTTAATATAACATGCTTTTTTTTGTTAGCAAACATATTACAGTGAGAATTTAAATGAACTAGAAGCTGTCTGCTCAGCCGTGACCAGTAAGTATTTTACCACATGCAATGACATGGACCACTGAGATTTTGTCTTAAATTTTAAGATAAGGATGTGAAGTGTTCACTTTGTGCAGCGTCTAATAACCCTGCACTAAAAACACCTGTGCGGCCTTTGTATGCAGTTCACTGATTCAACAAGTTTCTTAAAGTTTATATTTAAATGTCTAAAGTTTCAAACCAAACGAGGGGCGTACACTCAACTGTATTACCCAGCTGGGTATCAAAAGAGATGCTTTATGTAGACATTAATTTATAGCATACTGTGAACCAAGCCTGATATGTGTCAAGTCACTGGTCTAAAGTGAAATGTGAATTTATTATAATCATAATATAATTTGGTGCCTTTGAGCTAGTTTTGACTCCTGCTAATAGTAACTATGTAGGTAAAAAGTGAGGAGACCAAATTTTATCCACCATGAATGTTATCAAAATAACTTTGCTTACACAGTCTGCAAAATATATAATGCAGATTAATTGTTTTAAAATTACTATTTATATATTGAAAACATTAGCATGGCAAATTCTCAAATTTCATCCACCATTTTACCATTCACTTATATGGTATATTTATATGTGCGTTATTATGTCCTTGATTGGGTCTCTTTGCAACATTATAATTAAGAGCAGATATACAGTAGTAGAGAAGTAAACCCACTCCATATTAACATTTTATTTATTTATATATACTGTACAGCAACACTAGGAAGTGTGCGAATAAGACACATCTTTGCTGTAAGTATAGGATGTCCAACAGGAGAACAGACAACTACATGGAAATGTACAGTTACAAATAACAGTTACAGTTAAAACATGTCAGATCAACTTTATCAAGGTAAATGTGTCCTTTCTGCTTTTACAGACATTGCTCTGGATGACCACGAATGGCTGCAAAGAAAGCTCTCAGAGGCTTATAATGATTTCAGTTTCAGGAAAATGATTTCTTTTGGGGACCACACTCATTTTGCTGTTGACTTGAAATTGCTTTACGGGGATCTGGCCATTGTCTCCAAGGACATCAATAACCAACCACAGCAGCAGCTGACATTGCCTGAGATCCTGGAGAGCTTTTCTTCCATCACAGTAATAGAAGGAGAGGCAGGTAGTGGGAAGACTGCATTGCTTCGGAAAATAGCAATTCTTTGGGCCTCTGGATGTTGTCCCATACTCAACAGATTCAAGTTAGTTTTTTATTTGTCCCTGAAATCTGGAGAACGCGACCAAAGTTTGGCCGACCTTATTTGTAGTCAGGTAGTGGGTCTCAGAGGGTCCTTGACTGAAGATTGCCTGAAGAATGTATGTCAAAGTTTAACTAACGAGATCCTGTTCCTTTTGGATGAGTTTGACAAAATGAATGGGCTTCCCCAAGCAATCGAAGATTTGATTCAAAAGAACTATTTGAACAAACACTGCTTGGTTGTTGCAGTTCATCCTCATCAAGTTAGAGGAATTCGCCAACATGCAACCACTCTTCTCAGTATTTTGGAATTTCCATTAAGTAGCACCCTCTATCTGTTAAAAAAACTATTTTCCCACAATATTCAGCTTTTAGAAGACTTTTTTATTCAATTGTCATTTAAGGAGACCATTTGTTCCATATTGAAGACTCCCCTTTTCTTTGCAGCCCTTGCCTCATACTGGGCTCAGTATCCAAATGGCAAACAAGACACTGGTACTGTCATTTTAAAAGCCTACATGCTGTACAGCTTGTTGAAATATCCTCAAGAAGCGGATCGCATAAAAACTGTGATATCTGCTTGTGGTGAATTAGCTTTACAAGGTCTCTTCAAATCCCTCTTTAACTTCAGTGAGAAAGACCTGTCTGAAGTTGGGGTTAATGAGGAGGAAGTTCTCTACTTTGGATTGCTGACCAAGTTTACTACACAAAGGCTCCACCCACTCTATAAATTCTTCCACCTTTCCTTCCAAGAATTTCTCGCAGGACAAAGAATGAGTGAGCTCCTGGCTTCAGATGTTCAAGCAGATATAAAAAAAGGCCTGGAATACTTGCAGCAAATCGACACATTCATGAAAATTAAAGGGCGCTACCAATATATTTTGAGATATGCTTGTAGCAAACCATCCAAAGCAGTACCCATAATAATATCCCACCTACTGAATTTACTCAGTTGCAAGAAGTCATGTGAAAGCCACTCAGATAATACTATTTATCTGCAGCAAACTCCAGAATTTGAATTAATGCAATATGAGCTTATCAGCACTGTCTCTACTTTGGCTCCAGAATGTTATCACTCAGAATTCACCAAAACGGTACTAGTATTTGCTATTGAGTTAGCTTATCAAAGCAATATGGTTTCCAGTTGTGCACCTATGATTTTAGAGCTTCTGATTGGGAAAGAGATTTCTTTAGATTTGTTGACAGATGGATTCATCCGTAAATTATGTCTGGATTATCCAGAAAGTTTGTTCTTACCAAGTAGATTTAAGAAAACGCTTTCAGGCAGGTTGGGCAATACTTCTATGGATTCAATGGAAAGTGTTTTTTTCAACTGGAAGGCTCCATTGGTCGAACCAATATACACTCATGCTTTTCAACTCTTCAGTAATGTTAACCAGCAACTAAAAGAAAACACAGAAGCTATTAATAGTTTCAAAACCCGTATACTCAGACAGATTCCGGATTCCATAATAACTCCATTTCTCTGTGTGAAAAGCTGTGAGAAGATTCCATATCTGAAATTTGTTGTCCATGATATGACTTCCCTTGAAGCTCCTGATATTCAGAACTTAAAATTGCTCTTCTCATTTTTTGATAATATTGAGCTCAATTTGTACCATTGCAATGGCCTCCTTGAGAGTATCAAGCCGGTTATCGAAGAGAACTTGAAGTCTTTTAAAATCTGCAGCTTAAATGATAATGAACTGAATGAGCTGGAAGAAAACCTGCTTCTTTCAATGTCTTCACTGGAATCCCTTGACATTAAGTGGAGCACTTCATTACCAGGTACTTCTATCCATTTTGCTTTTTTATTTTCTTCCAAAAATATTTTTTCATAAATAAATCAGGAAATACTGGAGGATTAGAAGCAACATAAGTGGTTACCAAGTTCCTAAGGGAAGGGTAGTGGTGGTGGTGGTGGGGGAGGACTGCTTTCAATTTTGCCTGATTTATTTGAGGACTTCCTTAAGCATTAAGCCTGGCAAGCATGTCAAATCAATTTACCCTAAAACACATTCACAGTAAGCATGTGCTGGATTTCATGATAAATCTGAGTCATGTAATTTACATGTTAATTAATGTACAAATAAATGCATTGATTATCTGTTTGCCTTAGAACTTTCAGAAACTCTCTTTGCAAATTTGGACAAATACACATTTTTGAAGGAACTCTCGTTGGATCTACCTGGCTGCCATAATATATTTGATACAATCCCAGAGGGGTTCAAAAATCTTCAAAACATTGAGAAATTGATCCTCTGCAATATTCAGTTTAAAACAAGTTCTGCCTGGCTAGGTAAGTGTTATGTGTACAAAAGTCAAGAATGCTTCCAATGGACATCTGGTTGAATATGGATGAAAAACTGGGAGGTTTAATGCTTTTATTTCCCCCCCTCTAAGATAACACCATTCTTTTAAAATGTGTATCTTTTAAATTATATTAGAACTGAGAATTCTTGTTCCTGTTTCAGAATGTAGTAAGTCCAGCTCAGAGGACTCTTAAGTGGAACAGAGAACCTTTTGAGAAGAAGGAGTCACTGAGGCTTCAGGCAATCACAACCACGTGATAGTAATCCAAGTGTGTAACTAAGGGCAGGAGCATCCAGTTGTATATTGTATTGTTCCAAATTGTTTAACACTGTACATCACTCAGAGCTGTGATGGTGTTAGGCAGTCTACACGTTTAATAAATAAACAAATAAATAGACTCACCAAGCAATCTAGGCAAAATGCTGACTGCAGCATTGTGATCCAACCCCAATTACTTTTGTGCATGCATTGGTGAGGCATGGACATACAAATGGGGGAGGGAACTCAAGCGTCATTCAGCAATTGCCTTTTTTGTCTATTTTGACCCCCCCCCTCTAATGGGAAGCACTAATTAGAGAAAATTGGGCTAAATGGTTAAAAGGAATGTGAGGGTTTTAATAAATCACTGTGTTTCACCCTTACATTTTATTTTTAAATGCAATACTCATACCATCAATGGTATAATCATTAGGCTATTGCATGTACTCAAAATGCACATAAAATGGATACGAACTTGAAATTCATATCATGAAGAAAATGCTGAAAATGAAACTGGCAGATTTGTTTGTGCCTAGGGCAAAAAGGAATAGAAGTGAAATATATGCTTATGTAAAATAGATTAACTAACATGAAGTAAATCTACTGTGTATCTGACACTAATATAGTCAAATGTAGCTTAACATCCTTCACATTACAATTTGTTTTTTCTTTTTCTTTTTATTTTACAGTTGAATTCATACGGAACTTTCCAAATCTCTCCGTCTTTCATTTGAAAAACTCAACTTTTGTTGATATGGGGGCTCTTATGGGTGCAATGACTTCCTGCAAGAAGCTCACTGAACTTCTACTCAATGACTTGAATGCTGGAGATAAAGCACTGTGTGCCCTTAGTAAGAAAAAATTAATGGAGAACTTTTGCAATGTTAATACCAAATTACACTTTTGCTTAGTAACAAAGAAGCAATAATTCAAATGTCATAAAGTTCTTAATTTAAAATATATCTCAGAGATTAGACCTTCTGAATATACTTGGGAAATGATGTATCTGGTTTGCTTTTCTTTCTATTCTTATACACACATTGCTATGAAATAAGAATGCTGGGTGTGCTGAGTTGTATTTTTAATCAGAAAAAACATAGAAGGTGCCTGCAGTGGACAGGAGGAATGACCTTGAGGAAAAGGAGGAAGAGCTGATAACCAAGACAATGGTCTGATAAAAGAAACTTGAGTCAGGGCAGGTACTATAACCTGAGAAAACAAGAGATGCTCTTCCTCCTGTTACTCAAAGTCATCCCTTCTTTCCACTACATTCCTGCAAACAAACCAATTTCCTATTTACGTAGCAAGAGGTCCTATGAACTGGAAGATTCAGACGTGTCCGTGTCAAAATCTACAAGATGGTGACTGTGGTATTGTGATCAAAGCCATACTCTTTTATACATAGGTTGATATTACATTCATATAACAAAAGGGTAGAGCTTAGATTGCAGTGCCACACCCATCACCTTGCAGATTTTGACTATAAAAAACTCAGATAAATGAATTACAAGATTAAAGAGTGATAAAAAGCATTTTTTTAATTGTAAAATTTATCGGTGATAACTTTTAGTCATATAATCTGTTGATTTGAATTGAAGGCAGCTCTTTGTACTTCAATTATACCTATATTTATTTTTATATATTGCAGCTGCTGTTTTGCCAAATTTTACAGAATTAAAAATACTGAATCTCTCAGCATTATATCTGGAAAACAAGGAAGCAAGTACAGCACTGGGTATGGTTTAACTTTTCATTCCTGATAAATATTTTCTGAAGTTTGATATAGTGGTTGAAGTGCTGATCTAGGAAACTCAGCATTTATGATGTTGAATTTTCTTGAATAGGTTATATATCTATACAGTACGGTTTCCTGGGAGACGCTCAATTGCCACATCTTTTTTACTTTGCAGCATTAGCTTTACGTTCTCTTATGAATTTGGAACAGCTTATTCTACCTAGTGGAGAAGGAATAAGACATGCAGCTAAATTGATTGTTCAACAATGTTTCCATTTTCCAAATCTTCGTAAATTGCAGTTTAATCTGTATTTAAGTGATGAAGGCCTGTTGGAAATAGGTAAGCTCTTAAAACAAATAATCTCTATACGACTTTTTAGCATACGCCCATCCTCTGTTCATCATCCAGTTGATAGTGTAGATTTGGCCTGGCCCCATTATCTTACGTCTGAGCACAGAGCTGACAAACACATTTTAAAAGCCCTTAGAGTACGGGTAGGCAACCTTGGCTTTTATGACTCGTGGACTTCCACTCCCAGAATTCCTGAGCCAGCATGGCTCAGCTTGGAAACCTCTCCCTTTCCCCTCAGCATGGCTGTCTCAGGAATTCTGGGAGTTGAAGTCCACGAGTCATAAAAGAGCCAAGGTTGCCTACCCCTGCCTTAGAGCAACGTTTGACATATAAAAGCCTGATATAATGATATAATTTGTTTCAACTACATGATGTGACTAATAATTTGCTTCAGTTGAAAGACAATGTAATGCTATGACCATCCATGACCTTAAGGGTGTGGTAAAAGCCACAGTGATATCCCACACATTATAACCTAATTCCCTTCTTTCAAATGCCCTTGAAGGCAAGAGAGCCCTTTGTCTGTAATGCATTCATTTAGATTCCTGCCTTGAAAAGGAATTTGGACATTGCCTAAATGGCTCTTCTAACTTTTCCAGATGATGATGAAACCTCCTTTTGTTAAAAGTGTTTGCTCCACGGAATAACATAAGTATGTCATGTTGAGGGAAGAGCTAATGCTTTAAAATATTAAAAGTCAGTATGTTATGCTCAAATGAATCATATCAAGTTTCATTTCTTTTTATTAAATGGAGAAAGCCATTCCTTTTTATGCTAATTTAGTATTTCTCAACTTTAGTAACTTTAAGATATGTGGCTTTAAACTCCCAAAATTTCCTATCCATCATGCCACCTGAACTGATTCTTTGCAGACTGTATCCATGACACAAATACCACGGTATACAATTTATTTTGAAATAATTTCATTTATTTACGTATTGTTTTTGTTTCAGCGAAAGTAGCTGCTGATGGAGGTTTCCAAAAACTTGAATTTCTGGTCCTCTCAGTCAACCATAAAATTACTGAAGAGACTTGGAGGAATTTCTTTCAAACATTGTCCAACATGTCAGCCCTACAAGAGGTGGATTTCAATCGCACAGTTACACATCAAATCAAATGCCAAGCAGCAACCGTGAAGTCTTTTGTCCAATGTGTTTCTCGACTGCCCAACCTCAGGACAATCGGCATGATTGGATGGTTGTTCGATGAGAAGGACCTCAACATGTTTGAGATTATGAAACAACAACATCCCCAATCAAAGGATTTAACCTTAATTTGGAAATGTATATTGCCATTTGCACCTATTATTGATGAATAAAGAAGTGGAATGTAGTTCACTGTACAGTACAGTAAAGAAGTGGAATGTAGTTCACTGTACAGTATTAACATTATACATATTCTCACCATTTATTGTCTTGTTTTAAAATTTACTCCACTGTCCTGCAATAATTTCTTTTTCACAACCAGATTCCCATTTTTCTGAAAGCACTTCCCCATCAGTATTGGTACCACTTCCTGATTCCATGACATAGTTAGCATGGGCAGCTGAGATAATTTATTTACAGTTCAGCTGTAGCTCAACACAACTTGCATTTCTGTATATTGCTGAAACTTAGTTGAAGGCCAGTTTTCACATTGGCAGGAAAGCTGAAGTAGTCCAAATTCTGTCAAGAAGTTCTGATTTATAATCTATGGAATAGTGATCAGCATGTAGTTGGAGACCACCATCCCAAGTCTATCTGGGAAGAATTACTGCTATTTTAACCTCTTTTTTCTGTCACATCTGTCAGCATTCTTTTCTTCATGTTTCAGCATTTTTTTCCTATTTCAGACATATCTATTTTCATTTCAGATAGTATTTAGCCTGCTTGCAAAAAAATTTATTTCTCCTTTGCTGCACTCAACTGGTAGATAATTTCTGCTGATACTTTTAAGATGTCCATTTTTGTAATAATTTTACAATTGTTATTTTATCTTTTTACATGTTTTTCTGCTGTTCTTTAAAAATATAATAAGCTTCAGGGAGAAGGTCATGATGTTGTTCAAGATATATAAAACTGAGTTCATAACTTGGACATGGTTTCTTTCTTTTAGTCTTGGGATCCTGACCAGAGGAATTATCCCGATGTGTATTGCTTGCGGGTTTTCTGTCTCTATTAAGCAGGGAAACCAAAATATTACCTTAATAAATGTATCATAATATATATTATGCATGTCTATGTGATTTATTAGGTACATTGCTAGCCAGTAAACATACATTAAATTAGTAAAATAGATTCATATGGGTCATATGTAGTTCTGCAACTGCTAATGTGTGTTCAAAATACAATAATTATCATACAAACAATAAAAGGAGATATGGTGTGAGATGAAAAATAGGCTCTTCTGCTAGATACTACTGTGGCTTCCTTACTGCTTCAAAATTGAAATTAGGGGTGATGCCATGGGAAACTTTTAAAACCTTATATGAAAGCAGAGTGAGCTTAATTCATGCAGTATGTGCATTATCTGTGTTCTGTTGTGAGGATATATATCTGCGTATAATCCACAGAAGACTCCACAAAAGGAAACATGACCATTGTGTTAAAAAATTCTTTTTACCTATTCTAGCTATCAGTAAGCTTACTAAAAAAAAGAAAAATCAATTTGGAAAAGGTTAATTTTATTGACCAGTATTTCAAACCAGTTGGGTGATAGTAAGCAACCATTCCCTTAACTGACAGAAGAGTTGTTCTAGTCCTGGATCCTGGATAGTCCATGCATGAACACAGTTTTTCACTTAGGTCATTGCAGTTGTCCACAACTACAAAATGGAATACATCAAGATAATGCTGCTGTGGAGCTAGCAGTGAAGATAAGTCTTCATGTTGGAAATTGACTCTAAGAATCAGCATGTTATCAGAATTTATCTGAATGTTATTCAATCTGTCCAGAATATTCACCTAAAAATGAACACAAGATAACAACAGCAACATTGTTAGTATCTTGCCAGCAATGAAAATAATGTAGACCGTGGCAAACTGTCATCTCTCAGCATTATCTGTTATCTGTGAGATTCCTCTGCTAACAAGGGTAGAGGGGGGGAAACTTTCTCTCTGACAGATTGTCAAAAACATCATGTGGGGAAGCAAATTCATTTGGGAACCTTTGCCAATACTATTATGATTTATTCCAGATTTGCGATGGTGGCAAATGTCTGTAGCTCGGGTGTAGGATGGCGGTGGTGGTTCATTCTCCGAGCTTGTGGGTTGGTTTCTGAAGGTTTTGTTACCAGGCTAGGTAACATCTTCAGGGGAGTTTAGGGGATGTCAGTGTCAGTGTTCCTCTGTTTATAAGGGCTTCATGTGGCCAGAGGAACACTGACACTGACATCCCCTAAACTCCGTTGAAGATGTTAACCTAGCCTGGTAATGAAACGTTCGGAAACCAACCCACAAGCTCGGAGAACGAACCACCACCCTTATTCCAGATTTCTTATAACTGCTATAAATCTGATGCTTAAGCACTTATTCTTCTTGGGCCTGTAAAATATAAATAATATAAATCGGAATAACTACTTCCAATGATTTTACCAATCCTTAACCTCTGCAGCAATTTTGGATTCAGTAATTGTATTCTATGAGTTCTAGATACTACTAAGAACGATTACAAGACATGCTACAGTGGGGGAGAAAAGTATTTGATACCCTGCTGATTTTGTATGTTTGCCCACTGACAAAGAAATGATCAATCTATAATTTTAATGGTAGGTTTATTTTAAAAGTGAGAGACAGAATAACAAAAAACAAAACAAAAAAAAACCCCCCAGAAGAACGCTTTTCAAAAAAGTTATAAATTGCATTTGCATTTTAATGCAAATCAGCAAGATTTCTGGCTCCCAGGTGTCTTTTATACAGGTAACAAGCTGAGATTAGGAACAATCTCTTAAAGGGAGTGCTCCTAATCTCAGCCTGTTACCTGTATTAAAGACACCTGTCGACAGAAGCAATCAATCAATCAGATTCCAAACTCTCCACCATGGCCAAGACCAAAGAGCTGTCCAAGGATGTCAGGACAAGATTGTAGACCTACAAAAGGCTGGTATGGGCTACAAGACTATCGCCAAGCTTGGTAAGATGACAACAGTTGGTGCGATTATTCGCAAACGGAAGAAACACAAAATAAATGTCAATCTCCCTCGGTCTGGGGCTCCATGCAAGATCTCACCTTGTGGAGTTTCAATGATCATGAGAATGGCGAGCACTCAGCCCAGAACTACACGGGAGGATCTTGTCAATGATCTCATGGCAGCTGGGACCATAGTCACCAAGAAAACAATTGGTAACACACTAGGCAGTGAAGGACTGAAATCCTGCAGCGCCTGCAATGTCCCCCTGCTCAAGAAAGCACATGTACAGGCCCATCTGAAGTTTGACAATGAACATCTGAATGTTTCAGAGGAGAACTGGGTGGAAGTATTATGGTCAGGTGAGGCCAAAATCGAGCTCTTTGGCATCAATTCAACTCGCCGTGTTAGGAGGGGGAGGAATGCTGCCTGTGACTCCAAGAACACGATCCCCACCGTCAAACATGGAGGTGGAAACATTATGCTTTGGGGGTATTTTTCTGCTAAGGGGAACAGGACAACTTTACCACATCAAAGGGACAATGGACAGGGCCATGTGCCGTCAAATCATGGGTGAGAAGCTCCTTCCCTCAGCCAACGCATTGAAAATGGGTCATGGATGGGTATTCCAGCATGGCAATGACCCAAAACACATAGCCAAAGCAACAAAGGAGTGGCTCAAGAAGAAGTATATTAAGGTCCTGGAGTGGCCTAGCCAGTCTCCAGACCTTAATCCCATAGAAAATCTGTGGACGGAGCTGAAGGTTTGAGCTGCCAAACGTCAGCCTTGAAACCTTAATGACTTGGAGAGGATCTGCAAAGAGGAGTGGGATAAAATTCCTCCTGAGATGTGTGCAAACCTGGTGGCCAACTACAAGAAACGTCTGACCTCTGTGACTGCCAACAAAGGTTTTGCCACCAAGTACTAAAGTCATGTTTTGAGAAGGGGTAAAATACTTATTTCACTCATTAAAATGCAAATCAATTTATAACTTTTTTGAAATGAGTTTTTCTGGATGTTTTTGTTGTTATTCTATCTCTTACTGTTAAAATAAACCTACCATTAAAATTATAGACTGATCATTTTTTTGTCAATGGGCAAATGTACAAAATCAGCAGGGGTTCAAATAACTCCCCCCCCCACACCCTCTTAATACATTCAAGCACCCTCTTAATACATTCAAAGGAATATCTTCTACTGCACAATGCCAATAAGATGCAATACTTACCAGACTTACTTCATGTGAGTGTGTCTTCCCACAGAAGCTTCCGCTCGGCCCTGCTTTAAACCCTATGCAATGTAATACACAGTTTGAAGTTAAGGATTAATACATTTTGCAGTCCTGCAAGAAACAGGTAACACAAATAAAAATCCAGTGATAAAACCACCCTGTAAAAAGTGAGCAGGAAGGGCTTCCACAATCAACAGTATTAACAATTTATGTGCAAATCCATGAGCTATATAGCTTGTGGTTTTTTTTCCCTTGCAGCACAAATTATAAGCAAATGATTCCAAAGCAAATAGCTTTGGTTCCAAGCTTAGTTTATGATGAAATAGAAAAGTAGTAATTTTAATCCAAACTACTGCCATTCCTGCCCTCTGGAATACCATTCTTTCCGATGTCTGTTTTATAATAATAATCTTATCCCATTCCCTTTTCTGATAGTCTGGAACTTATGAGCAGGAAGTATCTTAATATTATTTTTTAATGAAGTTCTGGGAGTCTTTTGATTGAAGAAAAGAGTAATTATAAATAATATTGTCACTATTAGGTAGTAGTACTATCTATTAACCTAAAATTACTGTTGTATATTTTTAAACATATAACCCAGAGAAGCAGATAGCCAAGATATATTTATAAGCACATCACTTATAATAATTAAACAGAAATAGAAAACCAAAATACAAATAGAAAATAGAATATAAAATATAAAATAAAGATGGCTTATTGTAAGCTGGAGAAATGAGGAACTCTCCCTTTAAACTACATGGTTTAATATTTACACTAAGTTTTTATATCAATCTCTGTATATAGGACATTTCTTTCAAAAAAGCCATACTGTCACAAATCACATTTTTATTTTATTTTTAGCAACAATAAATCTGATAAGGTAAGCAGTTTGCCTGTTAATATGAAAAAAAAAATGTCTCACCAGGTAGTAGCCAGTGTGGTAGCCACTCATATACCAAGCTATTAACATACTTCCTAAAGCTTCATCATCATCAGGTGAATCTGAACTAAGAAGTGGAGGAGGTGGTATCAACTAGAAAAATAAAGGACAAATTTATCAGCTAGCTTTTAGTGTTTCTCAAGGCTGGCTGGATAAATCTGGGAATTGAAATCCACATATCTTATAAAGTATCCAAGGTAGAGAAACATTAGTTTGTACAAACAAAAAGGAAAGCACTCATCTTAGAAACAACAGTGACATTTTAACTAGCTAAAACCACAACACACAAGTTCAGAATTAGTAACTTCTAATTTAATTTATACATTTTTTATTACTGCTTATTAAATTCAAACAAATCCTTACTGCAAAATCAACCAGATTAATGAAATAAAAATTATAGAGGAACATTTCATGACAATTCTCAACTGGAAACTCAACAACATAGTTTTTTTCTCACAACATGACATGCCTTTTATTGCCTATCATCACTCACCGGTGGTCCTGAGGGCAATGATGGAGACCAGCCTGATAAGAAAGGTGGAGGCCCAGGGAATTTCCTTCCAGCCTAGAGCAGCAAAGCACTCGTAATCAATTATACTGCCATATTCATGCATGACTCAACAGTCCATAAAACAAACCTAGAGAAACATCCATTTGCTTTTGGGCAAACCTGATATGAGCATCAATCAAACTTTATTATGGTCAAACACCAGCATAAGGAGAGTGGAGTACAATCAAAATCATGCCTATTGGCTTCACTGGCAATAAAGGTTGGTATCTTAGCTATGTAGCCCAACTGATGCTCTGTGTCTGCTACGTAGTATTTAAATAATGATTTGGCCTGATTTGGAAAAAAAGCCTGAGGATGAGATTTAGTTGCCACTATCTTTTTCCATGTGGACTGAAAACCATCCCTCATA